GGCTCATGGTTAACCTGTTGTCCACCAGGACACCCAGGTCCCTCTCCACAGAGCTGCTCTCCAGCAGGTCCGCCCCAAGCCTGTACTGGTGCCTGGGGTTATTCCTCCCCAGGTGCAGGACCCTGCATTTGCCTTTGTTGAATCTCATCAGGTTGCTCTCTGCCCAACTTTCCAGCCTATCCATTTACCATTTATTCATTGTTCTACGCTGCCAAAATGATTATGCTTCGCTGGAAGTACCATGAAGTATGGAACAGGAAGGAAATACACTGTAACCGGTTTTATTTGTATGTGGAGAATAGTTCATGTGGTCTAATAGGTTGACCTTGGTGGGTAGCCAGACACCCATCCAGCTGTTCTCTCACTCTCCCTCCTCAACAGGACAGGGAGAGAAAATAAGATGAAAAACCTCGTGGGTAAAGATAAAGACAGGGAGAACACCTACCAGTTGCTGTCACAGGCAAAACGGAGTTGATTTGGGGAAAATCAATTTATTGCCAATTAAAATAGAGTTGAATAGTGAGAAACAAAGAGAAAAACTAAAACAACCTGCCACCACCGTTCCCCCGGGCTCCGCTTCATGACCAGCTCTTCTACCTCTCCCTTCCCATCCCGAGCAGTGCAGGGGGATCGTGAATGGGGGGTAGCAGTCAGTTCATAACAGTTCCTCTCTTCTGCTCCTTCCTCCTCACACTCATCCCTGTGTGGGTCCTCTCCACGGGCCACAGTTCCTGTCAGGAGAATCCTGCGCCAGCATGGGTTTTCCAGGGGCTGTGGTTCCTCCAGGCAATATGCACCTGTTCCAGCATGGTCCTGTCCACAGACTGCAGGGAAATTCCTGCTTGTACCATAGCCTCTTTGTCCTGGTTTAGCCCCAGCCCCCCATGAGCTGCTCGCTCACTCCTCCCTGCCCCTGCTGGGATGGGGAGGAGAATCAGAAGAAAAAGTCAAAAACTCGTGGGTTGGGGTAAAGACAGTTTAACAGAACAGCAAAGTTAGAGAAAAATAACAACAATAATACTGCTAAAAAGAATATACAAAGTGAAGGATACACAGCATAATTTTCTCACTGCCCAATGCCCAGGCTGCTCCAGAGCAGTGATCCCTACTCCAGCCAGCTCCCCCATCTATATGTCATATGGTTCAGATATCCCGAATATCCCATGTGGCCAGTTTGGGTCAGCTTCCTGTGAAAATTAAGTCTATCCCAGCCGAAACCAGGACACACTTCCGCAGGGTGCAGGGAAATACCTGCTCCAGCGTGGTCTCTTCCAAACCTTCCATGGGCTGCAGGTGAATCTCTGCTCCAGGGAAACATCCTCTCCAGCGACTGGAGCACCTCCTCCCCTTCCTTCTGTCCTGACCTTGGTGTTTGCGGGGGTGTTTCTCACACCTTCTGTTCACTCCTCTGCCTGCGTGGCATTTTTTTGCCCTTTCTTAAGTATGTTCTCTCAGAGGCACTACCAGTGTGGCTGAAGGGCACAGCTATGTCCTGCCATGGGTCTGGTGGAGCCAGCTGTGACCAGCTGTGTCCAGCATGGGGCAGCCCTGCCCTCCCTGCTACCAAAACCTGGCCCCGTAAACTCTAGGCATGCAGGCAGGTTGTACTTGCCAAAATTCAACTGGATGTGAAGGCTACTTTAAGAACCAGGAAAGAGGTGGTTCTTTTGCTACCATTTCATACAGTGTTTGTTTGGAGGCTTTACTATCGCACTTAATTTTTAAGAGAATTGTTACTTAGCCGATTTTTTAACTAAACTCCCTTTACTTTGTTGCTTCCTTGCTCCTCTTGCGAAGTGCGGCGTATGTTTATTGTCTTGTATATCATGTACGTCTGCGATTAGACGTCTCTTCTGTATCATCCTCATGTAGTTGATCGTGAGGCTGACCTTGGTAACATTTGCTGAGTATTTCAAGAGAGAGTTTTTTGAAGACATGGTGGCAGTGCAGCTTATAATAAGCATCCCTGTCTTCTTGCTTTGAAGTACTTCTAAAAGAAATTATGTTTTCTCTGATGCCATAAATTCACCTGTTTTAAGCAAAACCAGAAGACAAGAGTCACAACCCCTGCTTTAAGTATTAAATTATTAATTTTTACTTTGTTTCAAACTCAGTTTTCATAGAGTTAAGTACATTGGACATTTGAAATATACTCAACAAAAGGAAAAGTATGTAGAGGAAAGAAAGTGAGCTATGTCTGATTATTATGTTCTGTATGATTTTCAAGGTATGTAGTCTGACTTGCTTAACTCTATGCATTAAAATAAACAAATTTTTCTTAATCCTTTATGTTTCAGTCAGTTTCTACACTTGCATTAGTTGTTGGCTGTAAAAAATGAGTTAAGTCAAATAACTTGATCTGAAAAGTGTTTCTCTTTCTTTGTAGCTGCAGGTGAAGCCACTGCTGTGTACAGCTACAAATTCTGTTTACAAGCACTTGGAAAACTACTTTCAAGTGTTCAATTTAAAAAATAATTTTGCAATAGGAGATAAATAAAGTTTTCTTTTTTAATGGAAGGTATTTGAGTACATAATTTCATTTACATTTGATAAATTTTTCAGAAGAATACTTCTAGAGAGGTGTGTGCTGCTTTGGAATGGATCTTTTATTTTTTTTTTCCCCCCTAATGCATATATAGGTCAAAGATTACTGGGAAGTTCAGCACCTGTCAGTATTCCAGGTTCTCTTGTTCGTTCCTCATCGTTACATTCATCATCGTCCCTTTCAACCTCTCCACTCTGTTCTCTTTCACAATCGCTGTCTCAGTCTTTTGTTTCATCCACTACGGCTCCTCACCACCAGCAGCCTCAGCCTTTGAAGACAGAACATAGTATGTTAGGCACCTCAGCCTCTTCTCACAACCCTTCAGGTAAGTAAGTTGAAGGCTGAACTTTGTGTATTGTAAGAGGTAACTCAGTGGCAGGTCAGAAAAGTTCCATTCAAGGCTTTGCATGTTTCTTATGACTTAATCTGGACAACAAAGCCTAGCTATTGTAATTGGTAACACTACTGATAACGGAGTTGTATGTGGTATGTGGGAGAAAGTTCAAGGAGTGAACCTCTGTTCCTAGTGAAAGGAAAAAAGAGAATTCTTGGAAGAGGCGATATTTACAGAAGCGTTTGAAAGGAGTAAAATACAGCAGTTGGCATAAAGGCAGCACGAATGCATTTTAGCTGCAGCATTTGGCTAAAGGAAAATACAAAACAGAGAAAGAGGAAGAATTTAAATGATGTATGAGCTGCTAGGAACAAAGCTCTTCGTTTATAAATTAATTCCTACTCTTCCTTCTCCTTTTATGGATTGTACTGTCTTTTTATTAAAAGCAGCAAGGAAAAAAACGTGATAAGTCTCCTGAACCACTTTAAATACTGTAAACATTTTCCAGACTCTCACATTTCTGAAGGTAGTGAAATAATGTTGTGAGTCTTGCAGATAACAGTATAAATTTTGCATATGTGGCACATACATATTTTGTTCTCCATGTGAAACATTTTGTAGCGGTGTGTGCAGAATGATTTTTTTTTTTCTGCCTCTGTTTTACAGGTTTAAATGGTGTTACAGGGAGCATTTGGGACTTTGTAACTGGGAGTTTCTCTCCTAGTCCATCCCCAGTACTAAGCAGTGGCACTACCCCCTCAATAAGTTCAAACAGCAGTGGGAACGAACTAACTCGAGTTAGACAGGAACTTGATGATGCCAGGAGAAGACTAAAACAATGGGAAGAATCTTGGCAACAAGTAAAACAGGTATGTTCGTTTATGGTAATATTAAGGTTTTTTTAATATATATATATTTAATAAACAAGCAGGTCCTACTGCTTTTCCTTTTTACGTATCTTCCTATCCTTGGACCCAGAGTTTTATTACAGTCCTCAAAGTGAGCTAGCAGTATAAAGGAAACTGAGCTTCTTAAAGGACAATTGCTTTTTGGAAAGTTGATCTGTTTCTCTAGATAGCAACACGTACACATACTCAGGACAGGGCTGAACAGCAATGTATCTTGATGTTTAAGTAACTGAAGACGTACCTCTTTCAGATGATAAGCACACAAAAAAAGTAGAGGCTTCCCAGCAGCTGTAGTTGTATAGTGTACCTGGACAGTATCTAGTGATCTCAGCAGTCAAACTGAGGTTGTTGATAACTGCCACCAGTCCAGTGCATTTTCTGTAGTCCTTTCCTACCCCTCATGTTGTTCTCTCTGTGGTGAGGAATAGCTAAGTAGCTGTACTAAATTTTGATAGTTTTTCATGTCTGTGGACATTAAATTATGAATTTAACACATTTTAAATGAGTTCCATTTAGAAAGCTCAAAAAAAAGCTTCAGGATGTTTACAGACAAGTAGCAGTGAAATACCTAAAAATTACATTAAGACAATACGAGTTGTTAAGTAGAAGGTAGGATAAGTAGAGAAAAGGGTTAAATTGACAGTAAATGCATTGTCATGTCTAAAATTAGAGATTACCTGCATCTTTGAAGGCTTTTGACTTTGCTCTTCTGTTGTTAATTTAAAAGAATTAGTTTTCATTTTCTGGAAATGTCTTTCTCCCAGGCATGTGATGCATGGCAGAAAGAGGCACAAGAAGCAAAAGAACGTGCTAATATCGCAGATGCGGACAAACTATTCGCTCTTCAGAAGAAAGAGGAAGTGGAAAATCAATTAAAAAAGCTGAAGGCGCAATTAGCTGCTTGTCTATCTACTACACTACCTTATATGAAAAACTATGGAGATATAGAAAAGATATCCTTGCCTAAGCTTCGTTCCTTACAAAATCAGCTACACTTAGATTTGGAAACAATAGATGAGGTGAGTGAGTTCATCTGCATACCTATTTTTGATTCACTGAAACTGACAGCTCAGTAGCCTTCAATGACATATTTGTACCAGGTTTCATTTGAAAGAGCAACGTTTCTCTCAGTGTTAAGTCTTTCTTTTCTGGAATAGAGGATGGTTCAGATTTTTCAACCTAATGGATTCTTCGAAGTTTTTGATCAGCTGTCAAAACAAATTACAAGTGATCCACAAGAATTCTTGGGATTATTAAAAAAGAGATTTAAAGCCAGCTTTTACCCCCAACGTTTTGGGCACTACCTAAATAAATAAAAATAGTTGCCCTGAACATATGAACATAGTTACATGTTTTTCACTTGCTTAGAAGGTAGGTGGTGAGGTTCCCTGCTAGGAGTTTGTGTAGTCAGAGAGGCCAATACAGACTTGGAGCGTAGAATCATTGATGTTAGAGAAGACCTCTGGAGAGCCTCCAGTCCAACCTGCTGTTCAAAGCCTGGTCAACTTGAGCAGGTTGCTCAGGGCCTTCCCCAGTAGTGTTTTGAGTATCTCCAAGGATGGAGAGTCCACCACTTCTGCGGGCAACCTTTTCCAGTGTTCTACCATCCTCACAGTAAGAAAAGTTTTTTCTTAGGTCTATGTGGAATTTTCTGTATTTTAATTTGTGCCCGTTGCCTCTTCTTTCACTGGATACCACCAAGAAGAGTCTGTCCCTGTTTATTTTACTCCCTCCCATCAGGTGTTTATACACACCAGTACGATGCCATCTCTTCTCAAGGCTAAACAATCCCAGCTCTTTCAGCCTCTCCTCGTATGTCAGATGGTTCGGTCCCTGAATCACCTTAGTGGCATATTGCTGTATTTCAGCTTCTCTCAAATCCAGACTCAATGTCTGCCAAAATTTAGGATGCTCTTTTGCTGCCAGATTGAGGGCATTTCTCAGGGCTTTCAAAGCTGGGAACATCAGGTGCCGCTCCTCTGAGCATATCAAGGAAGACAATAGTGACCACGCACTGCTCCAAGAAGCATACTTCAAACCTTGCGGGGCACAATTTGGTTTCACATTGCTTTCTCCCCTGCAATCTCAAAAGGGCAGTGACACCACATCTGACACCAATTCTTGCTGTTTTGTTTTGACTGTGATGGGACTGTCCAGACAAAAAAAAAAGCCACAACCATTTCCTTTCACCACTTGGACAGTCTGCCATACTTTAGTACCTGTTTGAGTTCAGCAGTGTCTTCTCTGTCTCAGTGCACGTCCTGTCCAGTGCCATCTGTATCAGTATGAACTGACTGTCCAGACAAAAAAAAAAGCCACAACCATTTCCTTTCACCACTTGGACAGTCTGCCATACTTTAGTACCTGTTTGAGTTCAGCAGTGTCTTCTCTGTCTCAGTGCACGTCCTGTCCAGTGCCATCTGTATCAGTATGAACTACAGCCTTGGGGGGGTGGGGGGGAAAGCTAGGCTCTCTGTAGAAGAGTTTAAAACATAATTTAAGTCCTTGTCAATAAAGTAGGTGGATGAGAATGAGACTTGCTAGTTACCAGGCTCCCGTTACCAAGTACGTTTACAGGATTCTGGATTGGATTAGGAACCACTATTGTTTTTCTTGTAAGGGATTTTAAAGAGGAGCAAAGGAGTCTTGGGATCTCTTACGAAAAAAGTCATTACATCCTGGAATGGAAGTCATCTTGGCCAGGCTAGAGTGATCAGAACCATTACCACCTTTTTCAGTTTCTCAGGTTTCCTTTACCACTGTGGCCTCTTCTCATGTAGCTCTTCCCTCCAGGATAAAGTTGCTGCCTTAGGCAGTGCCATACATAACATTCTGGGTTCTTCTCTTAGTATGAACCATGTCTTGCTCTTCAAAAATTAACACAGCTTTTAGATGCTTTTCAGTTCTTCATGTTCCTTAATAGGGTTGATAAGGCTTATCGGATGGAAACATTTATTTGGTTGTAACATCCTTCCTGAAGTCTGTATCAGTAGCTTTATTCAAAGTATCGCACATTTGTGATGCTTCCATTTTGTCCTAATACAAACATCTCCCATGGCTTCAGAAAGTGTAACAGTGGTTTGAAACAGCAAAATGAGGGAGTATATGACAATGAAAAAGGCTTATTTCCTCTTTTTTTTTGTTTTTTTGCTTGTTTGCATCACTCATCCCAATTATGCAGGAAAATTTCAGGCCAGAGGTTCAGTCCTATATATTTTCCTTTCTAAAAGCACCTACATTCCTCCAGCTTCTACTTTAAAGGTTGCATTGTGCGCTGATCTTAGGACCTTCAATTCAGCTATCTGTCATACAAAAGCATTGTCCTTTGTGTTGTTAAATTAGAAGTTTATTTGGGACCGCTAAGCATAAAGCTGCTAGAATGCAACTGTATACTTGGTATGGTTTTTACTGAGTGCAATAATCTTTTTACAGGTGATTTTTCAGCTTCAGTCAAAGAAGTGTATCATATGCCAGGAAGGTGATCGTAGCATTATCCTGAATCCATGTCAACATTATGTACTTTGTGATCATTGTGCAGCTGCACAAGAAGAATGTCCCTGCTGCAAGAAAAAAAAAAATCGGTGGTAACATACAGGCACACTACTCATGTCATGTTCATGAATTAAATAATTTTATGTTTTTGTATTTTGAGTAAGAATTGTCTCACTCATAATTAATCCATTTAATAGTGCTAGACTGATTTCCGTTTTGATGCGAGAAATTTAGTTGCTTGAAGATAGAGAATAAAGCTTGCTCACCTCTACAAAACAACTTCAGTCATTTGGTGAGGTGCTATAGCCTCGAGGTTCTTTCATTCCCCCCCCAATCCCATTGCAGCCTTTTCTGCCTTCCACTTACATTCCTAGTGCACAAGCTACTTAGGTTCATTTGCACTGTAATCACTTTGTATAAATCTTACCATAATGCCTGAATGAAGAGTTTATACCTGTTATTTTCATTAAGAGAGGATAGATACCTGCATACGGTAACTACGCGCTTAACAGTACAAATGGTCCCTTTGCCATGTCTGTTGCGTGTGGAATGCCAGAGCCAGTATTTTGGAATCAGTCTAACACTATGTTTACTCGGATGTTTGAAAAACTCTGATTAATATAAAAGCACTTTTTAATTATTGTGTTTTGTTAGAAGATATGTTGTAAATTGCTTCAAGCTGCTTTCTAGGTCTTATGTTTATTTTTAATATGCAATAATATGACGTGTTTTATGTGTACTGTGAATTTAAAATGTTTCACATGGTTTTACTGTTCAGTCACAATATGATTAAATAGAAATGACAACTTACCTAGTTTTTTTACAATTTATAAGTTAACTGCATACTGTAGTATTTATAAATGTACCAGCAGAGACAAAACCAGTGAGGCACATATGCTTTCATATTCAAAGACATGTTTTAAATTTTGTGGAACAGATCAGTTTTAGTAAACAACTGTGTATTTGCATATTTCCCTCAGTTGGGATGTTTGTAGTCGTAAAACTTTTTGTACATCTCCTAACCTGTGTGTGGTACTTATGGGGAGCAGATGTGCTATATTTAATATTACCAAGTGCCTATGCCCCATATCCTATAAAATGGCAGAAGACATAAAAAAAGAATTTTGCTAATAATTTCTATTGCTTAATTTTGTATTGAACAATTTGACAATAACTAGAATACGTCTCTTGCTTTTATAAATATTTAAAAATACACTTTTTTCAGTAATGAAGTAATGCATGCTTGAAAGGAACTACAAAATTATTTAAGTGTGTGATCAGTCAGTGGCACTTTGACACAGCGGTTCTTTTAAAAGGTGGTAATATCCTTACTTCATCCTGGTAGTTGGGAACATCCAGTGCAGGAGGAGAAGTTAATTAATTACTGCATGTTAACTCTGTATATTTTTACTTTTCTTACCTGGAATAATTGCCTGCATTAGTCCTTTTTCTGTTAAATACAAGTGTGACGCTAGTACCACTTGGATTGAAATGACCTACTACTGTGTTACATGACTTGTATCTCTCTATTACTGTATTCAGTACAAAAAGTGAGTTCACACAGGCAGCAGTGAGTTAATTTAAAGTTCACTCATGCTAAAACAAAACCCAAGATATATACTAAAATTATTACTGTTGAAATAGAGCTTTTAGAGCTGTGTCAGTATTACCAATAGCACTGAAATCACTGTCTCCTCTGGGTTTTAGCATTCTTTGTACAAAGACTTGAGTGAGCAAAAAATTGTTACACATTTTTGCCGAGAACTAGATATACAGACTTGTTGCTGCTTTCCTAATACATGTTGATCTGCAGGAACATTGGAGACCTTTTGGGAAGGAAGAAGTAGGATGAAATATTAAATACATTTCTGCTTCCTTCTGTTTGAAAATTTTGTCTGAAGATCACTTTAAAGACCAAAGTTGGGTTTAATAATACAATTTTGCTGACTTTAACACAGTTTCTTTACAACGTTTGTGCTGAGTAAAGTACCAAATTGGACTGTATTTGCATTTTCAAACACACTTTTCTGTCCTAAAATAAGATCCTGTCGTTTTAAAGGTGTAGCCAGCTTTGGACTTTTAAAAAAAGTAACTTGGATCACCAAGTTTGGCTGTAGGTATTAATGTATTTTTTGCATCTGTGCAGTCTATGACAAAGACTGATCTTTGAACCTTAATGGCATTTTGGACTAAAGCAAACTTAGCTACGTAAGGGTTTTGATTTTTTTAAACAGTGAGCAAATCAAAGAATAATGTGTAATTATAGTTTGAAATTACGTTACGTAATTTTCAAACAAGCAGTTATTTTGGACACCAGTTTACTACATTTATCTAGTGTGGAACAGCATTCTGCAACCATTGTGCTCACAAAAACATTTACAAATAACTTAGTGAAAATTTTTGCTTTGGTATTTTAGAGGAAACCAGCTTAGGCCACATTGTGCTGCCCATATGCAGCTATGTGACATTTGTTACCCACAAGATAACGGAAGCGTGGTGTTGTGCTGTCTTGTCAAAGTTTGTAGTTCTTCATGTGTATTTTAGTGCATTTGCCTATGTCCTAGGGCTATTTCTTGGTCCCCTTTTTTCCTGGTAGTATCAGGTGATTTTCCTAATCTCATGACACCAACAGAAAGGGAATGTACACCGCACTTGCAGTGTGAATCATTACCGTGACATTCATAGTTTATATGTGCTGCATTTTTAGAGGAAAAGAACTAGTATGTTTAGTCTATTGCTTTTTAAAGTTGTATGTTTTGTGTTTTACAATGATGAATCTTGAAAATAATGTGTGTCCTATAGTAATATCAGTACTGAAAATTTTGCAGGTGTTCCCTGTAAGTTTCTTTGGTGCTGAATTACAGACACGTTTAAAAACTATCAAAAAAACCACTTTGTGGAGAAGGAAAAAACACATACCAAAGAAACATATCTAGGTGTGAAATTCTCAGACTGGGCAGCTTGCTGGATTTATAGATGAATCCTTAGGTAATCACCTGAACCATACATCATCATACATAGAAATCATATGAAAATTCCTCACAAAAAGAATTTTGTGAGGACTTACAAGCGAAGGTTTCTGTATCTTATTAAAGCAAGTCAACTGCAAATACAAGTAAGTACGTACTTTTACACCAGTACTTAAAAATGGAGGATAATAAAATACATGCAGTTGAATAGAGATGACTATTTGGAAGAAGTCAGACGTGAAACCTGACCTTTTGTAAGTATTCATCCATGTACTATATACACTAACTAGAAACTGGATACATTAAAAATATATTTTAGTGAGACTACAGTAATTTGATGAATTCATAAAATACATAAAAGCAAACTAAATAGATTTTCAAGATTCATTTTGGTATTTGACAAAGTTCTGTGTTAATTTATGTAAGAATATAATTTTTAATGTGAATGCCATTATGTTGTCACAATTATTTTAGCCTGGGGAATAACAGATTACAACTGATTTCTCAGGGTTTTTACAGTTAGGAGCTCTAATTTAACCGGAAGTATGCTAATTACAAATAGATCCCAAGCTGCATGTGATAGGCTTATTATTAGTCTTCTTTGAATAGCAGATTATTAAAGACATGCTTGTTTTGTTCTATATTGCCATTCAGAGTATCCTAGTATTAAATATAGGTAGTAGTATTATTACTGTCACACTATGCTTGTGTAACTGTGGTCATCATCAGACCCTAAATAAATAAGGAATTTTTATTCATACTAATTTATGGAAGCCGTTAATGTTTTGAGCGTACAAACAGAAATGATTTTGTGAATGAAATTGTTCTTAATACAAAACACATTATTTATAATGCTTACTCATTTACTTGTAGTGAACTGTTTAAAATTGTTAACACTTGTTAAAACTTTTCTACACTATAGCGTTTATGCAATGGTTTACAGAAGTCATGGAATTATTTTTATTACCAACATGGAAATAAAATTTTGATCTTTATTTCTGAGCTATACTGTGTTTAGAGACTCAAAAATTTACAGATATGCTTTCCTCTGCAATGTAATTACAGTATTCCTAATCATTTCAGGGTTTCAGCCACTGGGATCGGCATGTACTCTGCCAGTGGAGATACAAAGAAACTGATTCAGCAGAACGGTCTACAAGTCAGAGGCTGTCAAAGTTACTAAAACAATCACTCTTCCATTCCATTCTTCTATGTACCACGTCCTAAGAACATACTGGGCTGGAGCTATCATCATCAGTCTGTACCCATATTCTGTCCCTAACAGTGGCAACAGGAGATGCTGTTTAGGAGGAGCACATGAAGTCTCACCTCTTTCTGCAGTCCTTGTCTCATATCCTCCAGCGTTAGGGATGTTAGAAACTGCAGCCTATGTAGGCGCACCTTACACAAGATGGTAGTTTTGTACCTTTCCAACTCAAAACTTTGTTCTTCATAGGACGCAGAGAACGTGACAGCATACAGTACTGAGGATGGGGATTCACCACGGTTTTCTGGAGCTTCTGGTCCTGTCGTCCATATCCCTCCTGGTAATGCCCAGGACTTTTTCAGACTTTTTTTCCCCAGCATCCACTGCACATCTGGCACGGCAAGTAAAAGTTGGTTACTAGAAAGTCTCGGCTTACACGCTGTCCTTGAGTGAGAAATTCAGTAATGAAGGTGAGGATAGAGTGGTGTGAATAATCCCAGCAATGTGGAAGGGAAAGACAGATGCACACGCAGTCTTACATGCTGACTTATTCCCAAGTACACTCGTTATAAAGCTGTAGAGATGCATGCGTTATAGTCTTCAACTTGCCTTTCCAATCACCCCAAGGCCTTGCACTTGACCTGCAGTAACTACCTTTTTCATCTAGGTGCACCATCAGGTCTCCCAGTTCGTGTTCCTTGGATTTTGAGGACATTTTGAGGCACCCTGTGGCCCCTGTTTGCATTTTGGTGTGCCCCAGAACCCTAAATTCACATTGCGAGTTGTGCCTGAGCCCTCAACGTGCCTTATAGTGAGCCTCAGTGCCGCGTTTATCCTGCAGTGCGCAACAAGTTTTCCGTTTAGCTTTCTCCTCTCCCCCATAGTTTTATGGGTATGTTTCGGTGTTCTCCACCATCGGC